ACAAACACAACCACAACCACGCCCCCCCTACCACCCATGCACACATAGCCACATACACACATATACACACATACACACATAACACACATACATACACACACATACACACATATACACAAATACACACACATACACACACACACATACACAAACACGCACAGGCACACATGCACACACATGCATAGGCACACACACACACACACACACACACACACACACACACACACACACATGGGATAGTTTAAGAAGATTGACTGCTCTTCCAGAAGACCTGGGTTCAATTCCTAGCACACACAAGGTGGCTCAAAACCACATAACTCCTGTTCCAGGAGACATGTTCTTTCTTCTGGCCTCCATAGGCTTCAGGCATACAAGTAGTGCACAGACATGTATTCAGGAAAAACAATAATAAAAACATACAAATGAAATAAATATTTTTCAGAAATTTAAACAGCAAAGTACAGACATACAGATTTCTCCTAAAAGTGTGTTTAACATTGTGTTTAGCAACCAGTGTAGATAAAAACACAAGCATAGAAATTGAGTGAACAAAAATTATTTGAATTTTTCATTGTGTTTACATGTCACATATTCACTTGAATTCTTATAAAAGTTGATGAAATAAGTAAATAACACTTCTTCACATACAGGGATCTTCCAAACTACCCTGTATACTCTTCCTATTTTTCAGGAGCCACCAAATAAACCACAATTTTCCTTGGACTAAAGAAGTGCCAAAAAAAAAAAAAAGCATCTCATGGCCAATTGTTGAAGGTCAAGACTAAAACAATACTCTGTGGTTAAAAGCAAGCCAACTGAAGCTATTGAAAATACTCCCTGTTCACATACAGCTTGTTTTAAAATTATAACCGAATGCCTGGTGTGAACTGTAGCTTTGTATACATTGCTACAGAATCTGATTAAAGCAACCACGGTTTGTAAAGAATGCTTCTCTAACACCTGAAGCATCTTAACAGCACATTAATATATTAGTCACAAAGTTAGCCAATGGCATGAGTCCTTGGTGGGTCCCACCCACACTGAGGACATATAAAAGGCCCTCTCTGCAGGCAGAACTGTACGGACTCAACTCTCCTACACTCCTTCACCAACCAAGAACAACCTCAACAACCAGCACCATGTGTGGCTACTACGGAAACTACTATGGCGGCAGAGGCTATGGCTGCTGTGGCTATGGAGGC